GTTACTTTCCACCACTGATAAAAGGGGAAATGAGCACTGGAAGAATACATGTCAAAAATCAGTCTGTTACATTCAATGAAATAAGTGCTAAAAGGTGCCACCACTTCCCCAGAGGCTCAACATAATGTCATCTGTAGTGGGAGACTTTTTAAAAGGGCGGCGCTATTGTTTGTCCAGCGGCGGTGTCGGTCCCTGTCTCCGGTATTATTACTGATGCGTTTCGGTTTATTCTTCACCTCTCTCTCCACAGCTGTGCGGAAGTGACACAGCAGGCGCGCGCCCCGTCACGTCACGCGAGAAAGCACAGAAGCCGAGCGAGAAAGAAAATATCAACAACAACGAACAACATTTACCTGCAAATAAAGCCCCGGGACAGTCCGCAGACATGTCCAGCGCGTCGTTAACAGTCCTAAAGGATTGCATGGACTCGTAAAGGTGAGCTCAAACCGCCGGTCACGCGCGTTTTACCGCTAATTTAACAAGAGTCCGAGCAGGAGGGGGGAGGGGGGAGGAGGGGGACTCGTCCACGCAAACATTGCCGCGTCATTAAAATTCACAAACAAAATGTTGCACTACTAAAGCAACGCCCTGCATTGGTATTCACAGCGAGCCATAATGGTGTTAATGTGACACGCGTGTGACGGGGCTTTGTGAAGAGTTACATTCCCACAGCTGGTTTGTCTTGTGTTTTGGTTCAAAGGTTCATGGGCGGAAGAATGAGGAAGTAGCTGTTAATAAAGGCTGGAGGAGAGCTAGGAGGCAACTGAGTGCACGGCGGCATGCAGAGTACACAGTCTGCCAGTAATGCACCTACTTTTCCTTCAGAAGAGAAAACGAGTTGGCACTACAAGAGATATTTTATAACCTGCTCGGTAGCGCGGAAGCTCAAGCTGCATAGCAGCTAATGTGTTCGCCTGCAGCTGATCACATGCTGTCTGTCGTAACGGTAGCATACCAGCCACCGTTGTTAATGTCTAACTAAAAGGAATAGTTTGAAGTTTATACATGTGCTAAACGTACAGTAAGCTGTGTGTGTTATTTGTTCATATGATCTATCGGCTGTATTTGAATAAAAACATCGGTCCACTGTCACAATTCAAACTTCACTCTGTTAGTTTCTGTTCTTGTATTCATTTTTAAAATTACATGAACAATTAATTATCAAAATGTCTGTCCTTTCTGTCAAGTGGTTAACCAATTATTGTACTATTGGTTTCAGCTCTAACGTTACATTATGTATGTTGACTTGTTAACTACTACTGCTATTACTATATGTTTGTGGTTTATTCTTTCTAGGCTATGAATTCCTCTGAGCATGGAGAAGTTTCAGATGAAGCGATGCTTGAGAAAGGTAACAAAACAAACTGCAAACTATCTGTGCATCTGCAACAGCAAATTCCCACTGAAATTAAACATCTGTCATAAAGCTTAAAAAACAGATATTATATTCACTGGATTGTTTGAAGAGGTTTGATGAGTATATGTAAGTAAACTGTGTCTTTAAAAGAGAAATATTAATAATACTGAGGTAGAAAAAGTCTGATCACATGAAGTCCTGTGAACCGGCTTTAACAAAGAGAACTCATTATATTATTGGCAGAACATAAGGATGTCCAGGATGTTAAGGAGGAGATGGAGGACTTTGCTATTTGCGAACCACCCGAAGGACTTGGAGGAGGATCTCCCGGGGCCATTGAGACTGGTAAACGGTCGTCTACAGAGATGGGCCCTCACACAAACCAGTCCACCAGCAGCAAGAGAGTCAGAGTCTCTGGGGAGGTAACTTGAAACTGCTAAAATATTAGTAGACAACATGGACAATTTGCATAAATCCTATTTGCTGTGCAGGTCAAGGTGTCTCTTAATAGTATATATGTGTTTTGGATGTTATTTACTCTTTCTAGATGAGGCGGCACTTGATAGATGAGAGCAGCAGACATGAGCCTCTTTGCCTCACCACAACTGGAGAGAAGAGAGACTGTGTCCAGCAGAAATCCAGAGTCTCCTACAGAAAGCCTCTCTTCAGCATCTCCCACCGGATCTCGGAGAAGAGAAACACACCAAGTCTGGAGCAGCAAGCCAGTCATGGCGCCGGGAATCAGCTCAACTACAGCAGCATCCTCTCATCCAAGCTCCAGAGTTCAGAGGAAAATGGCACATTGGAGACCTTTCCCACTGCAGACGCTTTAGGCCAAGCTTCGTCAACAGACTCTAGCCTTTATCCGCTGATTGAGAAAATGTTTCTCATTCTCAATACCCTTAATTCAAGCATGACACAACTACATAGCAAAGTGGACTTGTTAACCCTTGAGGTCATGCGAATAAAGAAGCAGATCAAACCAGCTGACATAGTGACAGAGTTCCAGCCTCCTCCTGAATATCTGCTAACAAGTGACGAATTGAATCAGCTGATGGAGCAGACATCCAGCGCGGGGGAGCTTGGGTGTCGGCTGCTGGTGCATCTCTTCCCAGAGCTGTTCAAAGCCAGGGAGTGCTCTCATGAATGCATGGCAAGCAAGAGAACACTGGAGTCTCTACATCTGCAGCTGATCCGTAACTATGTTGAGGTATGCTACCCTTCGGTCAAGAGCAACAGCGTCTGGCAGGAAGAATGTCTCCTTCAGATTAATGACTTGTTTAATCGCTTCTGGGCTCAGAGGGACATGGAGAGTACTCGGCTGCTCAGGAAGCAGACAATCACAGGTGCTGGGATAAAGGCTGAGCATCCTCAAACCTATCGTTTCATTAATGAGCAGGGCCAGGAGGAGCATATCTCTTTAGATAACCAGCAGGGCACCCTGGCTGTGTCCGACCTTGCTTTCAACACGCAGGCCACAGAGGAGCTGGATGAGTTCTCTTCCCCTGAGGACTTTGTTATTTTTCTTATGCACCGTCTCTTCCCTGAGGTTTTTGAAGAGGGGAAAATGCCTGAAGGCTCCAGCAGTTTCAGTAGCGTGGGCCAGCTAATTCTGGACTCTGACAAGATGGAAATTATACGAAAGTATATGGAAGCTAATTTCCCCGATGTGCCTGAGGACAGCTGGCTTCAGGTGTGCATCCAGCATATGGAGGATGCACTGGAGGGTCCTCACAGTAACGGCAATGGGAGTGAACCTGACAATATCAACGATGAGGGCTATGACCTGGCCAGCCTTCCTGAAGATGTTTCTATTATTAAGGTTCCAGAGGTGGGTGATTTTGAAAGACCCAGTCGCAAGTCCAAAAAGTCGCTGCTCACACCTGTGGATTTTGACAATCTGGAGATTCCTCTTCCTGACTTGACTGTTCCCCACGAGTACCTCTTGTCCAGGGAGCAGCTGAAGAACAACTATGAATGTAGCTTGTCCATTGGCAACTTTGCTTCTCGGCTGCTGGTGCTTATGTTCCCTGAGCTCTTCACCCATGAGAACACCCGGAAGCAGTACAACTGCAGCGGCTCTCTTGGTAAGAAACAGCTCGACCCCGTTCGTGTAAATCTGATCCGTCATTACGTGCAGTTAGTCTACCCTCGGGCCAAGAACGACAGAGTGTGGATGTTGGAATTTGTGGGCAAACTTGATGAGAGGTGCAGGAGACGTGACACGGAGCAGAGAAGATCCTACCTGCAGCAGCGCAAAGTGTACGGTCAGGAGTCGGAGCAGGACTTTCTTTGCCAGCTGAACCAGCTCAATCCAGATAGCATGAGGGAGGATCCAGATACTCCCTCTTTACCCCCTGAGAAAAGTAGCAAAGACTTTTGTAAAATTCCCCTGGACGAACTGACTGTATCCAAACCTGACTTCCCTGTACCGTCTGTCTACCTGCTCTCAGACAGCGAGGTACGGGAAATTGTCCAGCAGAGTCTCTCTGTTGGGAACTTTGCTGCCCGCCTATTGGTGCGCCTCTTCCCTGAGCTCTTCACCCAGGAGAACCTGCGGCTGCAGTACAACCATTCAGGGGCCTGCAACAAGAAACAGCTTGACCCTGTCCGCCTCCGATTGATTCGTCACTATGTGGAAGCAGTGTATCCTGTGGATAAGATGGAAGAGGTGTGGCACTATGAATGTGTGCCAAGCATCGACGAGCGCTGCCGGCGCCCCAATCGCAAGAAGTGTGACATTCTTAAGAAGGCCAAGAGGTCAAGCACTGTGTCCTAGTTACAGTACTTTTCAGTTAGGCAACACTTTTTTTGTCATAAAAATAATTGCACAGTATATAAGCTGAAACTGCATTGTTGAACTGTTACAAACTGTCCTGTAGGATGAAGCCAAGCTGTTATGAGTTTTTTCAGTACTATTCTTAGTCATATTTTACCTTTTGACTACAGCAGTAGATGTAGTTTATGTAGTCTTATTGTTGGATAAAGAGTTAAAACTGCTTCTATTTATAAGCCAAAACTGTCATAGCTTATCTAACATACTTTGTTGATAAATGTTGTAGCCTTAAAAACAATAACAATGATAGTAGCTTATAGCATAGATCACACATATGCTCTATGGATAGAAATGAATCACAATGATGTGATATATTTCCATTGCAGTTACCGATGTAGCATTGTGCCACCACTGTTTTAATAACAATGTGCTTATGTTAAGCCTTCTTATAGAAGTTTATATTATAAAGACAATTTAACATGACAATGGATCATGATAACCTATTTCTAATAAAACCACAGTTATAAATATGACATACGATTGGGGTGTTGTACATTATAGCACTAAACTGTGAGTCTATCCAGGACTTACTGGATATTGACTGCAGTTTTACACCCAGAGCAGAGACAGGTGGACTTGAATTTTGAACACTCCAACAAGTTTTGTACTACGCAACATATATAGTGCTTCTACTAGTACTTACCATTTTATTTTTACATTACATTTATTTATTTTTTCCTTAATAATAAATATGCAACGAGTATTACCAGAAAACATATTAGGAGTAGCCCAACATACCACAAAGTTAATGATTGAGATGGAAACAAATGTCACATGCTCTTCATTAGCCAAGTCAACTGGACATGATTTTCAAATTTCAAAACGTCAAAGTGCAGCTTTATTGGGTCTCACAGAATACTGGGGAAAGGTAGACAATCATAATCTTTCTCCCAACGCTTAATGTCGACAAACCACTGAGTACTGTTAACCTTTACATTATACTTTTGTAATCCATTCTAGATTTAACTTGTTGGAGACCTTTCAAACGGCACTAGTTTGATGGTGTCCTCGCCCTCATTGGCCAATTGCATTGCAGTCTATGCCGTCCTGTTCAAGTTCATGGCTTAAAGGCCTCATCCCTGGGAAGCTCTATACATTTCCAGCGCCTTACGACAATTTTGTACTTTTCTGTGGTAGTTGTTTCACCAAAAACCCTCCGGAGGATGACTCTCATCATAGTAACAGTGTTTGTGTCTCGGTTCTCTGACAGTACTAGGTCCAAGGTGTCCCCAACTTTCACCTGAATAAAGAACAAAAAATACGAGAAGTGAGGTAAAAGACACATGTGGAAACACTAAGAATTCAGGAATATGTAACTTGTAGTAAAACATCACTCACTGCTTTACTTTTCTTCATGAGTTTCTGTCCATTTATCCTGAGCTTGTTGTTATAGAAGGCATCCTCAATTTTACTGTTAGAAGACAGAAGACAGTTAGTCCTGATGAAAGACTTTTAAAGGGCCTACCGTTACAAGTTACATTTGAATACATGGCAACAGAATTCCACCGAAAACAACACTAGTTGCCAGGGAAACTAAAACCAAGACAAACAACAAATACAAAAACTACATCCTAATTAGCTTTTACTGGCTGAAATGATTTTGTTGGAAAAACTCTTGATTGGGGATTTATTAGCCAGTGACTCACTTGCGCGCCATGTCCAGGCCAGCTTTCATGATGGCATCATAGCGAAAGGAAAGTACGTGTTTCGTCATGTCTTTATAGTCCTTTGGTAGATTTGGGTCCTCATCCATCTCATCTTCATAATCACTGTCCTCAGGGTCTTTTTTGTCCTCATCTTCCTCCTCTTCTTCCTCTGTTACCCTAGCTGCACCTTTCTTCTTGTTGCTTTTAAACCTCAGATGGTGGACAGACCAACCCCTGAGCGCGTCTCTGCCGTGGGAAGCAGGCCTGTGACAGCCAAGAGCGGGGAAAGCCGAGCAGCCCCACAGCTGGCGTGTGTGGATGGCCCTGGGACACCATTCATTCTGCCTCAGTCCATAGCCAGCAGCCAGCAGGTGGCGGGAGTTCAACCTTCCTAGCTGCCTCATGGCAAGTGCATGCACCACCAAACTCTGCATGTTGCTGCTCCACCCAGTCACTGGAAACACATGGACAGTTAGGAAGCATTGTGCTAAATAACTGAGGCAGATTTCAGTGTAAAATTAAATGTGTCAAACATAACTCCGATCAACTGCCATCAGGAGTCTGTGTTGTAAATCACCTCTTAGAATGATTCACAAAATGAGTCACCTGCTGGCTACTACGTCATGAATGAACTGCCATGCTCATTATTTTCGACTTGCTTTCCCATAATGCCCTTTTTATCCTATAATATTACTATTTGTACTATTAATCTTGTTATTTAATGAGATAAATGTGATGTCTCTTTGTGTTAGATCGCTAAACAACCTTCTTAAAGAGTATGTGGATTAAAGTCTGCAATACTATCCAACTAATCTAAATTTACCTTCAAAATAAAAGCCTCATTTTATTTATAGCCCCGGTTAGTGTCGCTCATGTTATAACAGATTTTTACAAGGCTGTTTGTTTACAAAACAATGATAGTAAGAGATGCACACATTGGGTTCATTAATTTATGTTAAATCGCTTTTGTTGATTTTCCGGAAGTGATTTTTTTATGTTTACACTCGACCCCAAACGACAACAAACACATACGGACGGTAGCGTTGTCACAGTTGAGGAATATTGTATTTTGTCTTTTAATATTAGCTGCTGTTTGTCTGCTTTTATGTAATGTCTGTCTGTGCTTGACTGAGCTTGACATTTTGAAGGCTAATGTTGACACCGAGCTAAAGCAGATACAGCTAGCTAGCTTCACTTTTCTTCAACCAGCTCGTGCACTCATAACCTCAGCCCACGTGCAACCCACCACGAGCCTGCTAACCAACAACAACAGTATAGCCAGATTGACTTAGCTGCTAAATGCTCAATGTGAAGTTTCTAACATGCAATGTTCACTCACCTACGGAATAACCTTTCATTGCTTACTGAACTTACTGTACTTCTGACTGGGTTACTTGTGTACCAGCCGATGTAAATGTGCTGCCACCTGCCGCACTGGAGGAGAACGACATTACCTGGGCAGGCTGAACACCAAACCGCAATGGGGGTTTTCGTGTTTAATGCAAAACAGTTACATTTACCAGCATAGTCTTTTTAAATTAAAGCATGACACTTTCTGGCTTCACTACCAGGCTAATTAGATGTGCATAACAAAGGACAAAGCATGAATCCCTTAGTCTATGCAGGTCTCAGCTTTTTCTTTGTCTATGTCTTTATATTACCAGCAACAATAACACACAATGTGGCTATCAAGCTTTCTATCTCTTTTCTTATATGTTTATGCCATTAATTTAATATTTACCTTCCATGATTTTCCAAAATGATCTAAAAGTAAAAGACTCAACTCAACAGAAAGCAAAATAAAATGAATAAAGTGTATTAAACACATTGAGTTTTGTGTAGGCCACAGCAGACATGTTGACTTGTCAATGTAGGAAAAGCACAGGTGTTACTAATAACATTAACGATGGCTCTCTTCTACTCAGGTGTCCCGGTAAGATCTGACAGTGTGATAATACGACAGCAGGCACAACACCGGGACACAGAAAGAAGAAACCGACGCAGCTAAATACAATTTAGCCATCATTCATTTTATTATTTACACCTGTGATCCAAAATGTCTGTGAAAAATGTCTATTGGTGTCCAAGAAGCAGCTCCTCCAGTAAACACTCTCCCCACCCAGATTTTCCCAGCGAGTCTGAGGATCCGAGCCGGCAACATGTTATATGTTTTAAATATACATGGGTTTGCCCAAGACATTTATTGCAACTTTTATTTTTCCAGCATAAGATAAAATTGAATACATATTTTAAAAGGTAATTAAGTTATTTATACAGCCCATTTGAATATAATGACAACAAGAACATTTTAAACATTTTACAAGAAGCTTTAAGTGGTCATGTATTGTTTTTATGTATTTGTCAATATATCAGCTTGAATACTTTATTACTTTAAGGGAATTTACATCAACATTCAGCTTCACTACAATTCATAATGTCTAGTGTCACTTCAAGTGCATAATACTAGTGTCACTACATTATTTAAAACAATGTAAGAACAAGGTGTTATTTGCTAGGATGCATACAATAAGTTCCTGTTAGATGTTATAAAAAAGTCTTATAAAGTTTGTATGATGTCCTTGTGTAAACGTAAGTGCATTTACATCCTTGCATATACTGCCTGTAAACTCCACTCAAGAGTCAGGGGTCCTCCAGATAAATCAACTATCAACATCCAAAGTCTCTTTAGGAAACATGGTGACACATTGGTGTGTGCTGTGCTCTGTCACTCTCTGAACACATTCAGTATACACTGGACAGTGAAATCACTGTTTTACAGATGAAAAATGAAGCATTATTCCTTTACTATAGACACATAATAGACATATACTACAGTATATCATATACGCTGGTGGTTTACATTCAGGTATGTTTATGGTTTATAACATATTGTCTTAGCAGAAGAAAATCATGCAAATTTGAGCATGGATTTAATGACTATGATTTTTTTTGCAGCTAAATCCATGACAGTGGTGACTGATGTGACATTCACATGTTCAAATGTATTGTCGATTCAATGTAAACCTGTACTTGTCTTTTCTGACCACAACATTAGTATAATGACATGTATATGTGTCTGTACCACAGTTGCCGGCAGGTTTTGTTGTGGCAGTAGGTAGAAAAAAGTCTAATTTAGGACAAAATGTACTTAATTGATCATGGATGATTGATTTTTCACAATGTGGCTCATATGATTAGACCAGGGCTGCCCAAAGTGCCCAAACTATTAAAAAAAAAAATTGAAATAATAATATAAATGGCTTTTTATGGTATTTTCTTTATCGTGAGGTAAATATGCTTTTTAAATATATCTGAGCACAGTGGACAGAGTGACTGCAGACTGCAGTCAGTCAATTAAGGGAACTTTCTAGTACTATTTTGCATGTTAACAATACATTACAATACAATCGATTTTTGCTTTTGGCCCATTGCCCACCATTAAGTTTCAGTTTTAGCCCTCAATGGGTAAAAGTTTGGGCAGCCCTGAAATAGACAGCGTTAGAGTGTTAGATTTTGCAGTTTCTGGGTCAGTCAAGAAAAATCATGTCAAATGTTTAAGCAAAAATCCAACCTAAATCACCTTAGCAATGTTAAATAGAACAATGTTCTGATTCTGTTTTATGGTTTCTTGTGCCCTTGCAGATAACCAAACAGTGACAATGTGTCAGCACATTGAGATAATTCCAACATCTACAGTGGAGGTTTGTAGGACAAATATTTCAAAAGCATCAACTGTAAACATCAGTTTTAGGTGGTAGTCCTTCAATATCCAAAAGAAAGGTGTGTTTCCTTCTGGAGCTGCCATATAGCACCAACAGTCAACAGTCAAACATGAAGAAAATCCATAGTAGAAGAAGTCTATCAAATTCTCTATCCCACAGTAGCCCCAATAGATCAGAATGCAACAGAGGTTTGTTCATTTTTCTCAATTAGAAGAGTGGTTACTCTGTTTTTACTATCTTTATCTTCACTTTCCACCAACACATGAAACCCACAGCTGAAAATAGGTTTATACCTCTGTTCTGCAAAAGGCATTCTGGGAAATGCAGAAAGTCACTAACTGAAGTAGAAATAGATTCAGCATGTTGATAAAAAAGTAGGTACAAGAATAAAGTAAAATTACAACATTTCACACAAGTAATGAAAATTTTTCCAACATCAGAGATTGGTATAACAGTGAGTGAGAGTCTCCAAGAGTTCATTTGTCTCTTTTGGGCTGGAGGTTTCCATATTGATCAATGTATCGTTGTGATATGCATAAGCGCAACCAATATCCCTCCTTTTACTGTTTCACTTGAGAAGTATTTAATTTCACAGTTATTGCAGTAATTAGAAGTAGGTTAAAACTTGTAGAAACTCCTCCTTACCATTCTTGATTATGACAAAATCATCAAAATCTCCGACTTTATCTGACTGCTCAGCTCTGATGTGTTTGTGTTACTGAGACTGAATGAGATGTTTAAACCTGCCTGTGTTGTCCGTGGCCTCTGAAAAGGTCTTATGAGGTAACTGCAGTTTCAGTTTCAGTTTCATATGTACAGTACATATGAGATCTTAAAAGCTATGGCAATGACGTACAGTGTAACAGTCGTTGTCTGCTTGTTTTCATTGTAAGCCAGGCAGATACAATATTCCCGTGTGTGTGTATCCTAGTAGGTTCACATACCACTGTTGCTTTGTTCTCCACTCACTAATCACTGTTATTGCTTTGGTGATTCACACATTTAGGATTCAGGCATTTGTTCAAGATAGTATGACAATACAGCATGAATCTGTGTATCTCACATTAAGACTTGTTTACACACTCTGTCTCTGATGTCCAAAGTGTTTGTATGCTACAGAAATGCCACTGTGTTTTGTCAGTGACTGCATAGTCATAAGGAAGTCTCCACGCAGGAGCCATTTCTGTGGAAAGACCTGTGGTTGTGGCAATTCTCGCTGCAGTGGACAATGAGCACTGGGTAGCAAAGTGCATCCTCGTAGTCTGGGGGTCCCTCATCATCTGTGGTGAGGCGCTCTGATAGACAGCGTGTGTTTTCACTGGGACTCTCCTGATCATCTAAGCTGCCACTCCTCCAGAAGCAGCTGCGCTGGGAGCCGTAGCGCCGCGCCAAGGAGAACCGACTGCCACTGAAGGGGATGCGGGAGCTGGCACCAGTACAGATGCTGAGGGCGCTCCTGGAGAACACTGAGGAGCAGCTGATGGCTCTGTGGCAGCGCTCACAATTCTGACGTATCCCACTAAAGCTGGTTGGGCACTGGGCCAGGTCCATCAGGCCGGCCTCTGAGTAACTGGGCACCAGTTGCTGGTTGGACCGGATGTGCCATTCCAGTTCTGTACTGTCAATGGTGTTAACACGAGGGATACGACGCCAATATGGCCGATCATCACATGGGGTCACAGGGAGGTAATCATGCCCAAAGAGCTTCTCAACACGATAGTGGACATATGCAGTATGATACTCGGTGAAGACTCTGAGAGGCCAGGAGAAAGTGAGGAATGAGGCAAACCAGAAGACGTAGTGGGACAGATACCAGGGGTGGTGCTCTGGATCACACAGCACCATGACATACTCCTTTAGGTCAATGTTTTTCAGATGCATCCCCTCCCTGGCTTCCATGTAGTCATCAAGGCCCTCATTGTCAGTAAAAAACCGTGCTCGTTGTGTAAGGTAGGAATTCTCGGACTCTACGTTGGCAAAACTAAAGCACTTGGTGAACCGCATCTTTGTTAGAGCAGACTTCTCCAAGCCCAGCAGCTGCTTTGAAACATCTTTCACACCACAGTGACTGTAATCAAATTCAGCTTCTGCCACATGGGTGTTGACACGTTCATGGTAAACCTGGGTACTAGTGTAAGCGTCTCCATTGCGGTAGCGTGTGACTTGTCGTGTTCGGCGAACATAGTGATAGCTGATGGCCTTCCACCAGATGCAGGGTTTAGCTTGCTGCATCCTTTGGATGCGTTCATAGATGCCCTCCACATCCACTTTGTGCTGCAGTTCATTCTTCACATGACAGTGCCAGCACTCCACAAGATAGACTAAATAGAGCATGCCCAGTAGGGCCAGAGGGATGTAGATATAGCCATCAGAGCAGGGGCTGTCATGGTACATCATGGATTTCCCTTTAAAGGCACTGTCAAAGGTAAGGCGGGTCACCTTGGTGACATGACACCAAACCATCGCTCCCATGCAGCCATACATGAGAATGGACAGGAGCAGGCATTTCCAAAAACTCTCCCGGCATAGTGACTTGCTCAGAGATTGCTTCAGGGGTCTTTGCTGTTGAGTCAAAACACAAAACAAAAGAGGAGACCTGTTATCTTCTAATTGATCACCGACTTAAAATGACATTTTGGTTGTTGCAATGTAGATCACTGCTGACTGACCTCTGCTACATCTTTAGCATAATAATGATTTTTGACACACCAACCGCTCATGCAACCATAGTATTAAAACCCTTACATTATACATTCCCTTGCAAAGACAATCAGTCTGCAGGCAGATAAGAGGAAAGTTCTTTCAGCTCTGTGGACATTTCATGCCATTTTATAGTTAGGTGCTGGAGAGATGTTAAGATAAAATCCGAGATATGGGCCTCTATAGCAGATGATAAGGACAGGTAAAGAGGCTGGGATTACCAATCACGTGTCCAACCATTTTACTCTGAAATCATTCATGTAGGCTCCAATATCATAGAAATGTTCCTTTTGAGATTATTTTTAAGACCAAATCCCTGGCAAATAATTCACCTGCAGTGTTACATTCTGCTCACTGTGCACATGGCGGATCTATTAAAAGCGTTGCGCCAAGATCTCACAAACGGATCAAAACAGAACCACATAGGGGGATGCTAGAAAATAATACCTCCTCCCTGGTGTCCTCCTCGAAGACGGTGGTCGTACTGCTTTCACTCGCTGTCGCAGCCGATGCTGGAGGGGACATGGTGCTGGGCAGCTATTGATAATAAAGCCAGGGCGTGGAAGTAGGAAGAGGAAGAGATTTCACTACCTTGCTCTGCAGAGTCCCTCAAGCAAGACGAGCTACTTGTCATGCATGCATTACATCAGTAATCACTTAGTGGCACTGCACCCTAAGAAAAGCCCAAGACGAGTCGACGGAGGCATGTTGTTGATCGGTGAAATGAAGGGGATCTTTCCGGTGGCTGGAAGGAAGAAAACGGAGGGGGTGTCTACTGGGAAGCCCGCATCTTGCCTTCTACGGTTTGGCTGTCAGTGCCGCAGTAACATGATCGTAGATTATGCTCTATTAGCCCGGTAGTCATTACAAAATGAACATGCCCTGCCCCTCGGGGCCCGCTGTGTGTCTAGCAGTGTGTGCGGGAGGAGGCGGCGCCGCAGCGGTGTGTGGGGAGCTGGCAGGGTCGCTGTCCGTGGTGCTGACTGAGGCAGGTGCACGGTGAGATGTTGTTGCATAAATCTGTCACTTAAAGGGAAAGTCCACCCTAAAACGGAGTCTTTTAACCGTGCAGCTCCAGTGATGATGTGGCAGTGGATTGTATTGAATTGTGGATCTGGTGACACTTGTGGAGGTGGTTCATTAACGGTGATTTGGGGATGACTGAATCTGTCTCGTTGGCTTTTTTTAAGTGACATAACATGCAAAGGGATTTTATTTGAATATAGAGTTTATGGGTTGCGAATCAGAAAATATATCTTAAGGAAATCAACAGCGTCCAAGGAGTTGCTTCAATATTACGGAAAAATAATATGGTTTTGATTTTAGGGTGGATTTGCCCTTTAAACCCTTTCAAAATAAAATACCCACTGTTATGCTGTTAAAAATCGATTAGGGATGTGATACAAAAATCACAACATGTATACAGTCACGAAGGAAAATTATAGTAATACTAATAAGTCATTCGTTAATCATTGCTCTGCTTTGTACTCAGACATAGGTTTAGATGACCCATAGTTCTGAGAAGGTTGGAAATAAATTATATTAGTTGCAAGGACTTTGAGATATCTTGTGAGTGTGTAGTGGAAGAGGTACTCAGATCCTTTACTTGAATACAAGTAGTAATACCACAATATAAAAATACTTACTTAAAGTGTCACATAAGGATAAGTATGAAAAGCAGAGGTGAAACTGATTGTTAATCAATGAGTCAGCAACTATTTTGATCATCTATTTTTGTTTAAGCATAACTGAATCTTTGATTTGCTTCTTTTCTTTCTGCAGTAGTAAATAATTGCCTTGGGCTTTAAGAAATAGTTTTACTATTTTATAATATGTTATAAACAAACAACAATTGATCATGGATGAATGGATGGAAGAAATAATCTACAGATTCACTTAGTAAAGTGAACCTTCTCAATCATCCAGGTTACCATCACATTTTTAGGTTTGTTTAATAGAGTTCTAACATGAGAATACAATAAACCACTTTGCAAAGTGTTTGGGCCTGAATGAAGCCTTGTGAAATGCTTCCAACATAAAGAAATGTTAATATCAGTGCTAGAAAGAGTCCCAAACTTCCCTTTCTTTCTATGGTTGTATTTTTCAGTGATTTTTTTGTTATTTGTTTAATTTAAAAAAGTGGAGTAAACTAACAGCAGTGATCTACATTACTACATTTTCACATGGAAAATCTTGAAGGCTGTGTGATTCACGTGCTGCTGTGGACTGCAGTGTTTTATGGAGCCAACAAAGAGAATAGCTGTTCCATCACTGATTTACAGGTGTTAAGATTAAATATGAACACTGACAATTACTTTAGTAATCTTACACTCCATTACACAGTATTAGATTGTTTTCAGAAACCTTTGTGAGTATTTAATAATTGTAACAAACAAGGCAGAACAGAAACCAGTGCACCAAACATAAGATCTACTGCAACAGAGCGATGAGCAAGAAGTATATCTAATTCTTAAAACAAAGAAAGGTTGATATAGTTACCATTGATATGCTGAAGTATGGATTAGAATAGTATGAAGCACACCCAGTGTAGTGTGAACATCATTAAAAAATACTTAGAAAAACATGTTCACGTAAATCAGAATGAGACTCCATCAAATATCAAAATCATATGAAATTTTGGGTCACAATTATACTTACAACGTCTTACAAAAAATACAAAAATCTTTTCAGAATCCATTAAAAGTCTCAGAGGCTCCAGCATAACTTACTTGTTTAGTTAGTTGATTCAGTTGTTTAAGTTACAAGTCACATGATATGCATGCATGGGTATGTATAAAAAAAAGGTTACACATATTTAATTGTCCTTTTGGTGTTTTACACATTTCAAAATTGTCCATATGAGAGGTTTTTGTTTATAAATGTGTGAACTTATATGTGCTTACAACCACAGTATACTACATCTGAGAGATGAATCCGAATCAAAGAACTTGAACACACTGTTATTAGCTGTAGTCATTTTAGAACAGAAGTAGTAATAAAGGAAGACACTGAAGAGTTTGTTTTAAACCAGACATAAAGTCAGTAAAGTGAGGAGTCCTGGTGTAAACTAAAATTGCAGGACAATCTTCAGCCACAGGGCTCTTTCTTCCTGTTGATCACAGCATGTCAAACTGCTACTTCCAAACTGTTTACTCCTTTTCCCAGGGTCTCCTTTTCGGATGACGAAGGGAACCCTTAAAGGGAAACAGAGTAAAGGTCATTATTGAAACAAGCTCCTGCACCAAGGTCAATACTCTTCATGGGGATTATAAATATGGCCACATGCATGAAGATGCATGTGGCCATATTTTATGTGAATGCCTTCAGTTGCTTTTTTGGCTTAAATGATAACAGCAGAAACAGCAACAAAAAAGCAACAAAAAAGATCATCTGCACGTGAAGATAAGATAACCCACAGCTTTCACACAGAAAATGTAGCTTGGATAACATGCACTGGGTTCAAAACTGACCTATAGGGTCAATATAGCACCGACACAATACTTGGTTAACTTGAGTCGGTATTAATGGAGTGTTTTGATCCAATATTTGTGTTATTTTTATATTCCTTTTGGGTTATTGAATCAAAACAATCCTTCTGTTGGGTGGCTTTCTACACATTGGTAGTTAAAATGTTGAAAGTCTGTCCCACCTATGCCAGAGCTACTTACAGAGTACATGTTGGAGAGGTTGTTGAAAAGCACTTGGCCTGCGCTCACTTTGTTCCTCACTCCTCGAATGGTCCCATTCTTGCTGCAAATATTGATCCGTTTGTTGCTGAAGCGCATCTCTCTCTTGGCACTGGCGTACAAAAGCAGGTCATCAGGTTCACAGCCATTCTCGTCCGGAGCCGTCTCCACCAGCAGGCCGTTCAGATGGCTGTTGGCCTCGCTGCTGGGAGGTGGGCTCCCCTGCTCTGCTTCTGGGCTGCTGGTGCAGTCAGAGTCCACTGAGTCCGACACTGAGCTGCACCAGGCCGTTTCATCCTTGAACACCTCCGCCAAGACCCGGCCACTGTTGGCAGATGCTACTCTAAACCTAACTGTTTTCCCTGCCTTTTCTTTCTCCTGTTTCAAGTTTGGCCCCTCCATTGAAGTACAAGATTGTCTTACATGTTTCACATCCTATTCAGAGAAGCCAGACATGCTCTTTCAGCCTAAGCCATAGTGGTATGCAATTATCAAACAATAATATCCCCATTGACGTGTCAAAATGAGCTGAAAATACCCCGAGTACAAAAACGAGACACCCAAATGGTTAATAATAGATGAGCCTCTGCCATGGTAACAGCTAAAACAGGCAAACAGTAAATTGATATAACCATGTTCAATTATTGATCAAGGTTAGTTTTCAAACAGCTGATAGACTACAGACCTGTGTCTAGTCTTAGATATACACTCAGGATATGCTCTGCTGCACAAACAATTACCCATAACGCACTACAGATAACCTTTTATCAGATATATACCAACTTGTTGTAAAGAATACATTGCTATACAAGCTCTTTTTTGTTAGCATTATAAATGGTATTAATGTTGTGTTTTAAGTAGAAGGGCATCATCAGGGGTTTACACTAGAACAGGTGGTTACAGTAGGCCTGTGTGGATGTCAAATCAAGAGTAAAAGCAAGAAATTAATAAAAGTGTCGCAGAAAAAACGTTTACCTTTTGTCACTATTGCTGCAAAATGTGTCAGTACATTTCCCTGTTACTGTCACCTTGGCAAATCCATTATCCAAATCCATAAATCCAGGAATCACCCTGCTAAACCCATGGGATTTATCTGCCTGTTGCAGAAAAGATTTTTCCTCAGCATTAAAACCTATTTTTAATTTTCACAGCAAAGTTACAGAGGAATCTGTAAAAGAGTACCGTTATTCAAACTCAGGATTATTTATCACAATGACCATTGCTCATCAATGAAATACGTGTCAGTATTTACATTTAAAGTGTACCATCTTCAACTATGGTATTCTGTTTTAATTATGTGATTGCAAATGTATTTCATTTCATTTCATTTTATTTTGATTATAATGAAATACAAAGTTCAGGTAAATATTGACAAAAACATATCCAAATATCAGAAAATCATTGAACAATAGCAATCCTAGCTGATGACATAAAACTAATAATCGGCCACACCGGAAAATTAATCATGTGTTAGTCAGACTGTAAACTGGTCAGTGAGTTGATGCTACTTTGGATGATGTATTTAAACAATACTTACATCTGTGGTTTTAATGGGCCTGTTAGTGACATTATCTCTGAACAGTTAGAAAGTATTTACCTCAAGTAATCTGCACACCGACCAGTAGCAAACTGCACACCTGTAGTTCCACTCCGGACCTGTAGATGGCAGTAACACTGCTCATGATAGCCAACAACAGCAAACACCGAAGAGGCTGGAGGACCACACGTGTAGCACAGTGTCAACATGGGTAAAAGAAGGCAGACTAAGCAGCTTTTCACAAGTTTATCCAAAAAACAGAAGAAACACTTGAAGGAATTTGGAGAGGAGCATCCGTTCCA